CGGCGGCTCCCGCAAGGACGGGACCCCGGGCCGGCGGCTCCCGCACGGACGGGACCCCAGGCCCGGAGAGGCTGGGCCAGCATCAGGCTAGTTAACCTGTCTTCCAGCTCCTTACGGAAAAACTGCCCCAGGTTGTTCTGAAGACGACTGGGCTCTTCTAAAATGCTTAACATTCCGGAGGGGGCGGGGGGGAAGGAAAGTTCTATGTGAGCTGAGAAAAAGAATTAGAATCACTAGTGAGCGTGAGAACTAGCTCTGAAGAGAAAGAGCCGAAAAATGCTGATCAGCCCAAGGTACCTGCTTTCGCCACCAAGTAAGACCTTCTTCCTACCCAGGGCCTCATGGTTTCACTCGCGTGTGAGGGTTTCGGGATGGCCAGAGAGTTCTAGCAGGAGGGAAAAACAGTGGTCAACTGTGTCGGAAATAATGGTGAAATGTTTCAATATTAATAAGGAAAGTACAGACACTTGCATACATTTTAGTTCAAAAAAGAATAAAGCTCTTCAGAATCGTCTCTTAGAGTCGCTCTTGCTTCCCAGGATGGGCGAAGGGTTCGGCCTGGCGGGGCGGGAGCGTGTGGCTCTGGGACATCGGGGCTGTCCAGCGGGGCTGCTGCCCTAACACATCGCCTTCGGGGCCCCTGTGACTGAACGTGTGGCCTTCACCCAGCAGCAGTAACAGAGCAGAAATCACTTTAACATTGGAAAGTAAAGGTCAAAATTTTAGATCCCATGAGAAACAATGATTAGCTCTGACCTCAGAATCACCTCGCTGGAACTCTTGCTCCGCAGGTGTCAGAGCTGGAGCTCAGAGAGGCTGCGTGGTGTCCGATGCTCAGTACCCCAGAGGCTTCTGGCCTCTCCGTCCTGAGCTGCAGCACCCTCCACGGTGCGAGACGTTCTCCCAAGAAAGCCGCAAATGTGGAATTTCAGTCCATGCTCCCGGCTGGGGGTCAGGCCTCAGCAGGATGAAGGCAGCTGACTTTGGACGGGATACAAATCGCCCTTTGTGATTGTCACCTGGGGAGGGAGAGGTGGGCTGCACCACTTGGGAGACCGATCAGAATACCCAGGAAGCTGGGAAAGCGGCAAGAAGGTGACATGTGTAGCCCTTAAACTCTTATTCTGTGATATAACTTTTGGGGGAAAATATTTTTACTTTTTTCACAGTACAAAAGGCAAAACTAGATAGCCCTTCGATGGTTTAAAATGAACAAAAAAAACTGTGGCTTTTTAAATCGTTTCTGATGTGAAC